ACATTAACAGTTATGTATTTCATTCAAAACCCATTTAGTTAAAATTTGGATTTCGAAATTAAAACGTGACGTGCTTTTATAAATGGGGGTAAAAGAAATTTTGGTAATCTAACAACAAAGACACCTAAATTACACGGGCCCGTGAATTTAAACTTCATAAAAGTTGTCTTAGTTTTAATACCGAAGTCTCTATAATTATGCTATGCAAATTTCGAAAATAATATTAATTTTTTTCTATCACGTAAGAATTTTTTACAAATCGGGAAGAAAGAAAAACTCTTACTTAGATCAAATTATTATTTCGTTTACCACAATGAAATTTTTTTTATTATTATGTTTCTTAACAAAAATACAAACAAACTGAACAAAAAGGAAGAACATTGATGTCAAACGAATATACATCCTCATTCATCCTGATTTTTTTGTGTGAAATATACGTCTTTTATTCTCAAAACTACGTGTTGTGGTCTTTCTTTTATGGATTGCGTTATGACGTTTTGTGAAAAATGTGTACGTGATGGAGAAAAATTGATATTTTCGGTTTCACCGTGCAGGAATTACTATATTCTGGCTTCTCTGTCTTGCACACGTTACACACTTGTTTTGATAACCACCAATATCATAGAATTCTATTATTTTACAGGTGTAAAGTTTGCACTTCATGAAACAGTAGTTTATATATCTAGATACGTTGTAGATGGAAACTAATAATTTTTGTCCATTTAGTTAAATTGCAATTGTTTCCTGTGTTTAGAAACATTAAGTGATTTACACACTATATGGTTAGAGTTTTAATTGCATATATTACTTAGTTAGTAAAACTATTTTCGAAAATAAATGGGCTTTATTTTTATCTTGATTAAAAACCGAACACACAGTTGGTAAGTCCAACTAAGCACACTCTCATTTTGATAGTTGAAAAGAACAAGAAAACAGTTTATAAAAATAACAATATAATTCAACACTTCAATGGGCTATCCGTGCTCTGACCACCGCGGGTACGAAACCCGATTTCTAGCGTTGTAAGTCGACATCCTTTCATTCCAGATTTTCGACGAGCCCCTAACTCCTCAAATATTTAATTTTAACTTGTTTGGCTGCAAGAGTAATCAATTCACCTTTAAATTATCGATAAATGTTCATAAAAATATTAATATTTGTGCTACAGTTATCAAACCCTATTTCCGTGCATGTTGATTTCGCGTCTTTTTTCCTTTGTTTTGATTCTTTAATAAGGAATCGAAAAATTCTAATTTTACCACTTTTTAACGGCCCATTTCTCTTAATCTAAAATAGATATGAAGACGTTGTTTTTTAATATGATTAAAAGTGTTTAGATTTTTTTTTTAGAAACATGAGAGTAGAGGCATTTGGAATAGCTGTGGCAATACTTCATGTTTGGCCAAAAGTTTGATCCTGTATATAGTTCCATCCTTGGCTGAAGTAACTACACGTGCATCTATTTTAAACTCACGCCTCTACCTTTCTGTACTACGGGAATCGAAACCTGATCAGGGTGAAGCTAAGATCTCGGGAAACTTTGCATTTGTTATGTGTCTATAAAACTTCACCATGGTTTGCGTTCTTAGAGTTGCAGATTTCAAACCAGGAATTATTATTACATTTTTTAACTTTTCAGCTTCACAAATAATTTATTCTGTCACATTTTTCTAAAGGTCTGTTTCTCTATCGAACAAATTAATTGTGTTTCCCATTGTTGCTTAACGATTTAAATATATTGCATTTTTAAATACGGAGGGAATATTTCATTAGAAGCCATTATGCATATTTTTTAGTTTTACACAACGAGCACGCTCGACAGCCCAAAAGAAATGGGAAATGTTGATGAAATTCTAGCAAACGTTCTATTTTACTTTCAAACGTTTTTTCTTTTTTTTGGTACAGTATAATTGCTGACCTAAGTACAATGAATAACCGAATTACTTCATTATACAAATAAAAATCACGCATTTTCTCTTACACTTGAACCTTCACCGGTATGACAAAATAAAACATATAAACATAATAAATGAACACTAGTAAACTGTTAAAATATTAACTACGATATGAATAGTCATGCAAAAATTTTTCTTATTAAAAAACAAAGTGTTTTATCGTTAGGAATAATCCCCGTAGGACAGGCCACTCACTTTCCTAGATAAAACGTTTCGTATAGTTTGTAAGTTTACAAAATATTTTATTCTTTTGCTAAACTAATGCGAGAAAGAAAAAAATAATAATAGTGTTAATATTACAATTTTTGAAGTATCACATGTTGTTCTCATAATTTTATTTAAGATTAGGAACTTTCCTATACCTCTGTAGATTTGTTTTAGAAACGCTTAAAAGAAATATTCGACATATCCTTTAAATGATAAATTAGTTTGTTCTTTTTTTAAAAAAAAAAAATTCTCTCGTACTGTTTTTCTTTGATTACATTCCGGATTGTAATTTTAACATTAACGCTCGCCGGACACTGATATTATAAAAATGTTTTTCAACGGAAAGTCCTGCTTTTTTCGCCATACATTTCATGAGAGAAGCGAGCCTGTTTTCCCCTAGCGGCTGACGTTTGAACCACGAGCTGTTGTAAGTCGCTTTTGAGTGGTTAGGAACAAGATAAAACGGACTGTCATTTTTTTTCATGCAGTCTGGCCGATGGCTGGCATACAAACGATATATGTGTATGGGGTCTCTATCGGCACAATCTAAGTTAGCATATATCCGAAAATTCCCCATTACACCTTCCTTAGGTTTTTTGGTCTCCTGGTCGATGTACTCCAGGTACTCCATACCGTTTGGAAGCTCACAAAGCGCTATATCTCCCCATCGAAGCTCGTAATGTCTTTTAGCTGACCGGATTCCAAAGAAAACGGAATTGTAAAACCAGAGTGTGTTAATGATGGAATCTTTTGTCTGAGCTCCAAGTTGTCCAGAAAGAAACAATTTCTCTATCTCGGAATCTGTTAAAGGAACGTGTTTCGTTGACAGACTTCCTTTACCTTGGGATTTCAATTGTAGCTGTTTCATTCGCAGAGACTCCCGTGTCTTAGAAAAATTCTCCGTTGTCGGACTGAAAATAGCAACAGGATATAGTTGCTTCCGAAGATAGCGGTCAACGCTGCTTAAAAGACCCCTCAAAGAATCCGGTTCATAATCGTCTCCATTTCTCTTCTTGACATTCATAATAAAACTCGACAAGACATCATCCAGTTCTTTATTTGGTATTTTCTCCAAAGGTCTTCGTTCTCCAACTTTCAAAAGGAATGAATTGACCAACTGTAGGTCTGTCTTTGTTTTTCTCACCGTGTTTAGATTCTCCATCCTTGCGGGTTTCTCTTCTGCTGCAGAACTAGAAGAGGTAGATTGATAATCGCTCTCCTCGCCGCCTAACTGTCTGTCAGAATCTTCTGAAAAGCGATCGTGAAGACAATGTAAATGATGCGCGCGATCCACGTGGAATTGCGATTCGATTCCTCCTTCCTTGGATGAGAGAACCACTATGGGAGCAAAAAGCAATATAGGCAGAAATCAGATAATAACACACTGGGACTCGTTGATTAAAAGTTTTTTTTTTTTTTTTTTGCAGATTTAAGTTAATGAGTTAGTTTACTCCATTGAGAAGTACCTATAGTGTTAGTATGAAAGACCCATACCGGAATGCATCCACCTTAGTTGCCATGTGCTCCCATAATGATGAGAAATATGATAGAAGAGATGAGGCGTGGCAGAAAAAAAAGTATAGTATAGGAAAGTAGGATGAACTTCGGCCCAATAACCGGTTAGTCAACCCAAATTGAAGCCCAAACCACCAACTACATATAAAGTAAGTTATTGAGAACAAACACCTGTGTATGCCTTGTTACAATACCATACTCTTACACATAAAAAATAAAATAAATTCGGGTTCTAAGCAATCAGTATTTACTTTCTAAAAGGTAATATGTGAAAATATTATCTTTTAGCTGTTTTGAATTAGGAACATTTTTAGCTCTATTACTTAACCGAAACCAAACAAGAAAATAAGTAAAACTATAGGTAATTTGACATTTTAAACGTTAGTATTACGTATATACATGGTAAAATTAGGGTTCACATATCCAGTTTTTATAAAATACGTGGCAACGTTGGATCAGCCTTTGATTAAAATATTAAATTGTCTAATTAGTCACTTAAACACACACACACATATATATATATATATATCATTTGTTTCACAAAATATAATGAAATATTATCTAGGATTCTTTAAATGTTTATACTTCAATGTTAAAAGCGCGATATAATATTAACGAGTGTAATTAGGCTTAAGGCACATTGATCCTAAAGTAAAATAGAATTCAATCGAACTTTACCAGAATATTGTAAACCAAAAACTGGCGTTTTCGTGTAATTTCATGTTTGACTTTACAAACCTGAATTTGAGGATTCAAACTTAAAAAAAAAAAGTACTAAGAATTAGTAACTAATTTCAATAATGGCTTCTTGGTTTTCATTGACTATAGTTACGGGTGACGTCGAATGTCGGGTGGTTAGGCGTTCACAAGAAGAGCTGTAATGTAATAAAGCTACATAATGGGCTAACTGTTGTGTGGCCACCACGAATATCGAAATCTAAATTTTAGCGTTATAGCGTTGTAATGATGCAACGTCAAAATGAACAAAAAATGATTTATTTAAGCGACGTTTCGGGATTGGATAAAGACTTGTTTTTTACAGTCGTAATAACGCATTTGATTCACGTCTCGATTTTGAACTAATAGATATATTTTGTTTTGTTTTTTTACAATTTAAGAGTTATATCGCTATACCAATTAATTAATTGGGTTAATTGTGGTAACTTATGAAGAAATGTGGTAAGAGTTTTACCAGATGATTTTTTTAATAAGTAGGTGGAAATATCAAATGTTCTCATTCTCACTCAGCGTTTCGCATATCTATTAATAATTTTGGTCACGTAATAGCTGATTTTACTTTTAAAGCTGTAACAAATAACCTACCTTCTTTACGTGAGTTTCCTGCTGTGCCTGATTCACTTTCCAGAGGGCCGTTACCTTGTCTGTGCGAACAGTAAAACTTACAGTGAGCTTCGAGTGTACTTTGACTACTAAATGTAATCCCACAAGGTCCACAGAGAAATCCTACATGGAAAACATAAATAAACATACGAATTTGGTAATAAATATTAATATGTTCAAAACCACCTAAATTATAATGTTTAGGCTAAGACACACTATCCTACCAAAAGTCATGGGGCACGGGTAGTTGTGAGTAAAACATGACTTTATTCCAAGAAAATAATAGCGTGTTGACCCGCCTATGGCCTTAATAGCTGCTTCAGTGCGTCGTGGAAGATTGTCTACTAATGTCTGGTAGAAAGCTGGTGGTATTGTGCTCCACTCCTCTTTTAAAGCATTAGTAAGCTCCATTACTGAAGGGGCCGTCTTGGCCTTGCCCTAATTCCGTGTTCCAGTTCATTCCAAAGATGTTTAATCGGGTTGGGGTCGGAGTTCTGTGCTGGCCACTGCAATGTTCCGATGTTATTTTCTTCAAACCATGCATTCACAATCCTTGCTTTGAGACATGGAGCGTTATCGTGTTGGAAGGTGTAAGGGCTGGTCCCATAAAAATGCCACAGTGTGGAACACACAGAATTGCTCAGATCATCAATGTAGGACTCAGCATTCAAGGATCCATGCACTGCGACCAGTGGACCTAGTTCATACTACGAGAAGCACCCCCAGACCATAATACCGGCACCTCCAAACTTCACTGTTGAGAAAACACACTCAGGTAATAAGCGTCCTCCGGGTATCCTCCATACCCAAACATGTCCATCAGACTGGAAGAGCGTGTAGCATGACTCTTCGCTCCACAGGACCGAGTTCCATTGATCCACGGTCCAGGTACGGTGTGCCTTGCCCCATTCCAAACGACCGTGTGCATTTGTTTTTGTTATCAACGACTTGTGGGCTGCGGCTCTTCCGTGAAAATTCATGGCATATAGCTCTTGGCGCTTCGTGGAAACACTTATATCTACCCGCATCTCCAAACACGGATTATCTCTAGAGTCTGATGGCGAGATGAGGTAACCAGCCTTCTCAAGGTGCGTCGGCTCCTGTCAGTCAGTATTTTATGACTATCTGGTCGTTTCTAGGGCTCATTGTCACCTGTGGACTTCCATTTCTTCAGCACGTTGCCAGTTGTCCACTTGGGAATATTTAATTGTTACGCAATAACACGTACAGACATTTTCCCCAAATGACATCCAACTATCCTCCCCCTCTGAAACTCTGTTAGCTCTGTTAGGCGTACAAGTTCGAAATGACTTCCGAGCAAACCGTTGATCACCTTTATAGGCCAAACTATTTGCATATTTCGTCGTAACACTCATTTTCCTGCAATCACAGATGTGTCCCATGACTTTTTGGTAGGTAACGTAAATTACCAAAACAGGGTACAAAAACAAACTAAAAAAGGTAAAACCATAAGCTTTAATGAAATACATATACATATGTGTGTATGTGCGTGTACATTACTGCAGAAAAAACATTTTGTTTTCCTAATCTTGAGATGCTTCAGTCTTCGATACCTGTGGTGGGCAGAGCATAGATAGCCCATTGTGTAGCTTTGTGCTTAACTTCAAACAATCAATCAAACTAACTAAAAAGCTTCAGTCTTATGAAACATACAACAGTTTTAAGTTGTTGTCATTTGTGTTTGCATCGTATGAGAATTCATTTTTATTATTGCAAAATATGAAAGATTTTATTATTAAAACACATGATGAAAATCATTATGTATTGGAGTTTTTAGTATTGTTCATAACTGAAGTGGCCCGGCATAGCCAGGTGGTCAGGGTGTTCGACTCACAATCTGAGGGTCGTGGGTTCGAATCCCCGTCACACCAAACATGCTCGCCATTTCAGCCGTGGGGGTCGTTATAATGTGAGAGTCAATCCCACTATTCGTAGGTAAAAGAGTAGCCCAAGAGTTTGGCGGTGGGTGGTGATGAGTAGCTGCCTTCCCTCTAGTCTTACACTGCTAAATTAGGGACGACTAGCGCAGATAGCCCTCGTGTAGCTTTGCCCGAAATTCAAAACAAACAAACAAACATCGAAACACAATGAAAAACGGAAATGGTTGAAATATTTAGGGACACATCAAATATTATAGTTCATCAACAATCAGTCTCTGACTCAACGGCAGCAGAAATGGTAGAACACTTTGTGTAAACCACATCTTGCACTTATTTTTTTTCTGAAAATCTCCAGGAATATGCATTATTTCATAAGAAATCCAGATGTGTTCGATTATCTATAACTGGAAAACACCAAAACAAGTTATGATTGGTTTGGGGTAATCTTTCGTTATAATTCAGACAACAGTTTTTAGTCTGCTTGTTTTCGAGCAAAGCTACATTGGGCTATCTACTGTGTCCACCGCGAGAAATCGAACTCCGGAGTTTTAGCGTTGTAAGTTCGTAGACCTACCATTGTCTCACTGGGGTACTCAGACAATGGTCATGCTATTGTGAAAGTCCATTATCTATGGAACACCTATCGTTCTCGAGTGTTTTAGTGAAATCTTAAGCCTATAAGCCAAAATCTCCGAGGTGGGAAAGAGGTCGAACTCAAAGTTAACCTGTAAATGTAAAGTATCAAAACGTCCGAGATATTACAAGCGTAGCAAGATTTGGATGCTATCGCGATGGACGGCAAGCCAGTTTCTGATCGTATGCTTAAAAAGTTAGCAGAAGTTAAGAGAGGTCAGAGAAGCTACGGTGGAGAAGGTGTGGTCAGAAGGTGTTGTAAGCGGCCGAAGAAGAAGTGCGTTTAATTATAGAAGCGGTAAATTTAGGGATGTAGCTGACGTCTTTTCCTCAAATTAGGATGTGAGCAGAAGGAGGAGAACGATTCAAGATCAGGTAAGGAACTCAGAATACGAAGACTTTTTCTGATTAAAGTGTGAGAATTTTACAAGAATAAGAGGAGAGAGAAGTGTTGAGATAATGACAAAATAGCATGATCATAGCGTGCGGATCTGGTAGGATAAAATCAGTTTAATGACAACTCGGATCAAAGAAAACAATACGATAAACGTATCCCTGGATCATGCCCACTATCTACAAAATAGTCGTATTTTCTGCCATTGAGTCAGAGATTATTTGTTAAATAACAAACGTACGTTGAAAATTTTAGCTTCAATGGCAATAGTTTTGTAACTATCATACGAGTTAGTTAGTACGAATAACTTAGAAAGGGTTTGTTTGTTTTAGAATTTCAAAGAAAACTGAGAAAGACCGTGCCTGATTTTGAGCTGATAGACTAGAGGAGAGACTGTTAGTCAACAGTACGCACTTGCATCTCATAGACTACTATTGTTTGGTCGAATAGTGGGATTTGGTGGTCGCGGACTGTGGCAACGAGACTTGAACTATGAATTCTCGGATTCAAAGTTGAGCAAAGGGAAGCTAAGGACTTGTGACCCTTTTGCAACATTTATTCTTTAATTCCTGATAGAAATTACACACACAAATACAAAAAAATATATATATATTTCGAGTGATAAAATAAAAGTGGTTATTATGGCAGTACCTTGGAAATGCACGCCATATTTCAAGTTATTGTGAACACCGCCTATGATATCATATTCTAGCTATAAAAATAATGTTTCAAGTGTTATCCAAAGGGGTTTAACGCGACACATTATTGTGTCGCAAATCAACTGACAAGTCGACGCAAAAAATACCTTTTTAATGTCAGTTTTAAAAATGAAAACAATCAACATGAAATATGTTAGAATAACAATTTCAACGTGATGAACAGGGGAAAATACAATCGCAAGTCGTTTTATATTTCATTAATTAGTATATCGCTATAAGCACTCCAATTAATGGCACGTTGTATATTTGGAAGAGAAAGGTTTGGGTAAACAATGCTTTATGATTTTTATTATTGTTATTAATGAACACTTAAATCCGACTGATGGAATAATTTTGTATAATACCTGATTTTTCTGTATTTAAGTTATCCAGTATATAGTTTGTTTGTTTGCTTGCAATTAAGCACAAAGCTACACAATGGGTTATCTCTGCTCTGTCCGGTACGGGTATCGAAACCCGGATTTTAGCGTTGTAAATCCGCAGACATTCCGTGTGCCACTAGGGGACAATTTAAATGAAACACCACCACCAACAACAAAAAGTCTGATGTTATATGACTGATGAACTAAGCGCTGTAAATCTCGGACATACTGCTGTGCCACTGGGCGATCCAGTATACAAAAGTGACCACAATGACATCTTAATGATGAACAGGCTTGAAGAATGGTAAGCAAATTTCATGCGCTGTTTTACATATCATCGTTGGAAGTAAAAAACAAACAAAAACAAAAGAATACGGTAAAACTATATAATATATCTTATGACATTAAGTACTCGAATGGCTGTTTTGTTGTTAAATTACATACTTGATGACCATCAGCATTAGCTGTCCTCAATATTGGAAGTGATAGACCAGAGGGTAGGCAACTATAGTCATCATCACCCACCGCCAGCTCTTGGGCTATATGTAAAGTGGGATTGACCGTTACGTTATAACATCCGCACAGTTGAAAGGGTGAGATTGTTCGGTGACATGTTTCGAACTCACGATCAGCAGATTGTCAGTCGAGCGACCTAACCACCAGGCCAAGTCGTGCCCTCGGATGACTGAAGATGATAAATTAATGCCCACCCAGTGGCACCGCGACATGTATACGGACTTATAACGCTAGAAACCGGGTTTCGATACTCGTGGTGGGCAGAGCACAGATATATCTTTGGGTAACTTCAAACAAACAATAAATTAATCTCACTGTTGTTGGTATTCATGAGCAGCTTAGGCAGAGCACTCATCTATTATTGTTTACACAATTTACCTTGTATAAATATACTTGTCTAAATTGACACGTTTATGAGTTAGGCCTACACTTAACTTGTGATGGATGATCAGTAAAGACAAGTTAGATAGGTCCGAGTCCGATTGTACCTTAACTTGCAGTAACGCGCTCAAAATCAGGCCGGGCCGGACTAGATTTTTATTTTTTTTTCCAAAGACGGTTGGACAGAAAGTATTACTTTATGTTTAGATTGACACTAAGTTGGATTTATAAATGTATCATTACCCCCCCCCCCCCTCAGTCTCGGATCAGGCTAGACTTGAAGCTGGAAAACTCGAACAGAATCGAGCCTAAGAATTTAACTTTGCACTCATTTCTAGTGCCGTTATTAAACCAGTTAGGCTACCAATCCCTTAAAATGCCCGACTAGATAACTGTGTATGTATGTATGTGTGCATTAGTACAAAATAATCGAATGAAGGACTATACCTGATGTCCTATTTGATACTCCTGAAGAGATTATGTTTTCGGTGATGGACAGATGAGAGGATAACAACGGAAGACAGATTAAAGAACTCCCTGTAAGTAAGGGAAACAAGGCTTTAAGTAAACTCATGCGTTTGAGAATGAATTATTCTTCTTGCTAGGCTTTTAATAAAATGTTTCAACAAGAACAATATATATATATATAATAAGACCAACTCAAACAACATGTAAGTATCAATTTTTAGAACACAGTTTTATAAATTATTTACTAACCAAACCATAAAAATGTAAACAAAAACATCATAAATATTGCTCGAAAACTCTGAAATCACGAGCCCTCAGACCCTGTTTGTTTGTTTTTTTAATTTCGCGCAAAGCTACACGAGGGATATCTGAAGTAGCCGTCCCTAATTTAGCAGTGTGAGAGTAGAGGGAAGGCAGCTAATCATCACCACCCACCGCCAACTCTTGGGCTACTCTTTTTACCAACGAATAATAGGATTGATCGTCACATTATAACGCCCCCACGGCTGAAAGGGCGTGTATGTTTGGTGTAACGGGGATTCCAACCCGCGACCCGCAGATTGAGAGTCGAGCGCCCTAACCGCCTGGCCATGCCGGGCGAGCCTACTGTTATATACTACTTTGGCTTTTGTTTTACGTTTCTTTTCCATAATATTTCAACCCTCCTAGTAAAGTTGAAACATATTCTATACAGTATTAAGTTTGATAAGATTTCTTATTTTTAACAGTACATTCGTCCCCCGGTGGTATACGGATTTACAACGCTAAAGTCTAGGGTTTGATTCCCTGCACTGGATACAGCTGATAGCCCAATACGGCTTTGTTCTAAAACAACCAACCAATAGAGTTCAAGAGTGTTGTATATTCATCTGCTAAAAACAACCAACCAACTAATAGTATTACAATTAAGACTGACTGGTTGGTGTTTGTTTTCAAAACGACCTAAATTTATAGGAATTAAAAAAAACTGCTGTTTATAAAGTATGAAGAAATGACACAGAATCGTGGGTATGTTATTAATTGGTCTTTATTCTAGTTTTTCTTCTTGGCCTACACGAAAATACTTTTTTTTACGTCACCAAGCAATAAACATCCTCTATCCGTCTCTGAAATAAAAACACTTTTCGCGTTTTTTTTTCCGTTTAGTGTTAAGTTACCCCTAAGATTGAGTATCTATATGATAGATAAGCATGTAGTAGCCAATCATTGTAGTACCATATTTAACCCTAATCTGTCAGACCGCAATAAAAGCTTCCATACCAATTAAATACCTCTTAAGCATCGCCCTGGTTTATCTGTTCTTGAATCATGAGGTTTGGCTTTATTTAACCATTAATCACATAAAAAGTGTGTAATAATGATAAATATGCTTAATTCAATTGCGATATAGTGTTGATAAATTGGTGACGAGGGTAGCTCGTCACATGAATGAGGCTAATGGGTAACTGTTTCCATGACAGCGCTCTACTTTTAATAACTTGGAGTAACTGATAAACGAACTAAGAGTTATTATAAATAAACTTAATATTCCGAAAATTGTTTGATTTCCAAGTCGAAGTTCAAGGAAGATCCAGTTCAATCTATACTTTGATCAACGTGTAGATTGAACTGGACCTCCCTTGAAGTTGGACTTCGAAATCAAACAAATTTCGGAATGTTAAGTTTATTTATTATATCTGCTATTGTGTGGCTATATAATGTGAAGAAGTGAATAGTGGCCAACGACACTTTTTCTTCACTTCACCTATTTAGTATGTAGGTTTGCCTAATAGTGACTAGAAAGCACGTTCACACCAACAGTACGTTTGAACTAAATCTACTCGTCGACAAAGGGCGCACTTTATGTTAGAACTACAAGGTAATTATTAATCGGTAGAGGGCGTTAATTATGTACGTACTAAGAGGTACTTACTGTTCGACAGAGAGGTAGGTAGACTACGAGCGAGCTTGGAAAGAGCAGAGTCCGTATTGTACGTTCCAGATGACACTCCATGTCTCAAATGACCGTCTGAAGAATGGTCATCGCTGGAACTATTTGAAAAGTCAGGAGATTTGTCTGTTTTAATGCTAGTCTTGGGGTCATTGTTTGATGTATTGTCAGTTAAAGGTTCACTGGGTTCAGGGGATAATCGGTCTGGCGTTTGTTCAGAAGAAACATCCCCATTAACAGAAGCCAAGGAAAGTTTTCTGCTCTTAAAGGTATTCAGAGAAAGGTCCTGACATTCTTCGACAAAGTCCTTGCCCTTATCTTCTTCGTCGTCTAGGCAAGGAATTTTATATCTCGAAACAGAAGTATAACATTCTCTTCCAGCAATAGATGGCGCCAAAGGATACGACAGCCCAGCTTTCGATAGCTGCTTGTGAGATGTGATTCTGTACCAAACACTCAACTCTTCTTCTTGATCGGTATCGCAATAGATGGAACACCATATTTCATTACCTAAAAGGGATTAGATCACCTTCTATAAAAATAGCGTCTTATTACCTGGAAAATAAACCTGGTTCATGATATTTGATGGCATTATTATAACGTAACACATGACTTACGGAAGAGAAATTATGTGAAAGATTAAGCCAAATGTTAATGATATTTTTATTTTAAAGAAATGTATTATTATTATTATAAGTGTATGTTCGCTCTGAAACTTGAAAAATACAAGCAAAAGTTTTTGTGAATATTGAAAACAAGATCTAAAGTATCTGTAAAAGTGCGAGGGATTATGAAACATATTCATGTGCAGAGTTCAGAGTTTACAATTAGAAGAGAAGAAGAAGAAGAAGAAACCTGTCCCTCAGATAACGTAACCGGTGATTCGGTTACGTATATGATTATGTAGAGAAGAAATGACATAGGAAAATATGTCAATGAAACAGGATTAAGCTGCCCCGCCCTCCCGAAAAAAACACAAAAAAAAACAAAAAAACAAGTGAATCACATAAACATAGGCTGTGCTGATGGAATTGAAGTACAATCATTTGTAATAACGTACCTGACAGTTAATGGTGATATCTATTTCAGTATTTTTTCAGACTGAAGCTCGGGGTGTAATTTACTCGGATAATTTAAGTTACAAGCTATAACACTGCTGATCGATCGTAACTAACATGCCATGTCTTCATTGGAGATATACATACATATATATAAACCAGAAACAACATAATAAAATTAAAATTCAAAACCACGCCTCCTCTACCATTCCTTGCTGTCGTCCTTAAGTCATATGTTTATGACGCGCGAAAAAAATATGTTGAAATTGAAGGCTGTCCTATTGGTGTGTGAATGTTTTGGGGGCATGAGAAGAACTGTTATTTACCTTCCACAAACACGATGAGATTCGCCTCATTAGGTGAGGTCGCAAGTTTAACCAATCTGAGCCAACTTCCGGTTTCATCATTCAAATTTAGGAAGATCTTCTCTCCATCGACATCTCTAGCCTATAAATAAAGCAAGTTAGATCAACAGACTTGAAAAGAAAAGTCATTAAAGTAGTTAATTACGATATCTATATCTAGGTAAGAACATAGGAACTTTATATATTAAATTTGTATTTCAATACTTAACGCTTTCGCTACAATAAAATCACTTACTCTTCAGCCACAGTTTTTTTTTTATTCTTGGGTTAATAAATTCTTCTATGAGATTACTTCTCCGAAAGGAGGCCGAAGGTTTGTTTGTTTGTAATTAAGCACAAAGCTACAAAATGGGCTATCTGTGCTCTGCCCACCAATGGGTATCGAAACTCGGATTCTAGCGTTGTAAGTCCGCAGACATACCGCTGTGCCACTGGGGGCGGGGCCGAAGGCCGCCTGGGTGGGTCACCTGTTTTAAACACTCGCACCAGTATACGATAGTGTGTTGTCTGTCAGTCAGTCAGTAGACACTAAAAATGACGTCACATAAGGATTGTTATTGTTTTTTATTATTAAGCACAAAGCTACACAAAGGGCTATCTGTGTTCTGCCCACCTCAGGTATCGAAATCCGGTTTTTAGCGGTATAAGTCACATAAGGGACGCTTAACGTTGCAATTTATAATGTCGTGACGTCAGTAAAACGTGCGTCTGCCATGAATCACGATAAAAATTATGCACCCTGAAGGCTACAACACAGCAGAACATTCGAACATCAAAAGCAGAAATAAAAATATTTGTTACTCTTAATTTTGGTTTTATTTACTCTTGAAAGAGAACACGTTCGAGGATACTGCGGAAGTACATCTGGTATTTTTTAATTATGCTCTTTTTGAAAATAAAATAAATCTGTAATATAATCATTAAATAGTTAGTTCACTGTATAATACCGAATAATAAATTAGGCGCAATGTCATATTATTATTCAGACACCTAAGTTAATTTAGGTTACTTAATAGTAAGTTGAAACGAACTTAAAAGACAACAACATCGTTATAAGATGCTTTACTGTATTTCTTGAGTTTACTGACTCAGTCTCTGCTGATGAGCCGTGAATAGGCGAAATTGCAAGTATCACGGTATTAATATTCAACAATTAAAAGATTGAGTTGTTGGCTGAAGAGCAACTTTATTGTTGCGAGATTGGAAATTTGATCTTGAGCTAATGAATCTATATTTTGTTATATTACTTACACGCTTAAATGGACTTTAAAATGAATTTTAAATCCGCATATATATCGTGATTATTATATATATATATATATATATATATATATACACGGTAGTGTGTTGTCTGTCAGTCAGTCAGTAGACACTAAAAATGACGTCACATAAGGGTTGTTGTTGTTTATTATTAAGCACAAAGCTACACAAAGGGCTATCAATGTAAGTAAATATCATTTCAACAAAACAGTGTACTTTTCCCCTAATGGGGCTAAAGATAAAGCACATCCTTCAGCATTAATCGAGTTCACTTTTACTGGTTTCGTAGTAGGTAGCCGTTCTTCAGATACGAGTTAATTCAAATTATCTTTCTTTTCATCGCGTGTGAACAAGTTACCATCGTTAGAATGTCGTTTCGAAATTTATATTAAACCTCCAAAAGTAATTGGAACTGAAAAACATTGTGAATAAATAATAACCTAATTTAAATATATATATATATTGCTTGGAATCGTAACAAAGGCATTTCAAGGCAGAGCATAAACTGTTCAGTTGAACAAATGACTTTTTAAATATCATACTATGTCATGTTTCATAACAAGATAGTATTAAATATACATCTAAATGATGATACATTTAAATGATAACAATAAATTTCTCGGTGAGTCAGCGGTAAGTTTACGCACTTGCAAAAACTATAAAATTCGAGGTTCGATTTCTTGTTGTAGAGAGAGAGTGTAGCTAGGCCATGGTATAGTTTTGCACTAAGAAAACAACAACAACAACAGTATATTGGAGGATAAACGTTTGAAAGAGAATTATAGAAAAAAATGTATTTATAACTCAAGAAATAGTGTGATTTAATAAACGTTGTGAGTCCCCAGGTGGGACAGCTGTAAGCTTACGGACTATAAGATCCGCGGTTCAATTCTCCGTGGTGGACAGAGTGGAGTTAACCAATCATGTAGCTTTACACTAAGAAAACAACAATAAGAACAGAAATCCACTCGAAAGGCTGAGAATTTCAGTTACCCGTTAGAATTCGAGTAGAGAAAATAATGTAAACAAAATCTTATAGCCACGAAACATCTTTCAAAAGAGAAAAAAAACAACAACAACAACAATAAAGCACACGTTTTCCGAAAATACAAAATCAAGAAGAATACCTACTACGTTCAAGATTATATAAGGTTTATTTTACAAAACTTAACGAATTATTAAAATATAGAGATAAGAGATATACGCGTTTGGTTGAGATACCTCGGCCAGTCTCGTTATCTGTCTGTCTGTCTACCCATTTGTCTAGTAAATATAGACCCCCACAACTCTTACTTCATACGACTGGTCAATGACAACAACAAAAATGTTCCAGTTAATAGAAATATTTAGCTTCAGAGTGCGTAGAATATGTTCTACTTCTCAGCCCAAAACATTGGAAGTCAAGAACTGTAAATACCTAATGAAAAGAAAACAAATATACAAGAATAGCCTTCTACTAGAATGACTGCCCTCACCCCGGCCATATCCTTTTTTTGTTTTGGTGTATTTGTGTGTGTGTGTATACATTTTGTGGTTATGCTGTCTTTGGCACAGGAATCCAATTTATACATTTCTGAAGTGTTAACCTTGACCCTTTAACTCCAAGGTCAATATAATTCTTTAACAGCCCCGAGAGAAGTGACCTTTGAGTTCTGATTAAAATATCCTCTTTAGAACTCTAGTTATTGTGCCGAAATCTACTTCCTACTTCTTTAAAAGGCGAACTTGACATTTGACATTTTAGCTCTTAAATCAGAAGGGTCGTCCCCATTCCCAAGGGAACTGAACTGTGAAGTTTGATTAAAATCTGCTGTTTAGAACCTATATTTATCGTGCGCAAAGTAGATGGACATGTAGGTAATGTCACTATATCTCCCCCCTCCCCCGAATCTTTGTGAGAGAAAAAAAGCAACAGTGAGTTTTTGATTTATGTTTATGTTAACTCTCCACTTGAACTTTCTACAAATTATGCAAAAAATAACATTTTCAAGAGTGTCTGAGCGAAAGTAACAAATGAACCTTTAGGGGTCGGAAGAGTGACATAGGGGGGCCGGTGTTCGCACCTGACCCTCCCCACATGTCACTCAGGGCGCCCCCTATGTCTTCTCCTTACGTTGAACGGGTACGTCGGCTAGTAATTTATAAACCACACCATATCTGCTGTATCCATGCCGACGAGGCCTTTCTCCCATTACCAGGGCTCTTCAGGCCAGCTGGAATACGACAGTTAGTAATGGTTGACACACTATTTATAACACCAAATTACTCGAAAACAATAGTTAAGTTGTTAACTGGATTAAGTTTGTGAAGTTCATTTTTCATCAAGTTTTTATTTTTAATGCCATTACACCCCAGGAAAAAGCCAAGCGTTTTTAACACTGTATTATAACAACAAACCCTTGTTTTGGCTCCATGCTGTTACCTAGAATTACATTTGGCGGAGTCAAAATAGGGATTTGTAGTTTGAGTAAATAATGTCTACAGTATCTCAAACCTTGTTTGTTTACTTTTTTATGGATCCCTACTTGTAGGTTTTAAATTCCCAACTTTTTATCATCTTGTTTGCTTGTTTTTTTATGCTCAACTATGGGCAAAGGATTACTATATACATTGTAATGATAATAAACATAGCTAGTAGCTAGCTGATACGGTTCATGATGATTTACTGTAGCTATTGACTATTTGATCGCATTAGTTCGTGAAGTAAAATGTTAAGCTGCAGCTAGAGATTGCCATGGAGATTTGTTTGAGAATATAGTGAGCATTTGTAGTTTCTGTGTAGCTAAATTATTTATATATGTAATGCATAGCAATGGGCATCCAAGTAAGCGCGTATGAAGTTTTACTAGTAGAAAAGTCGCCTTTTCAAATAAAACATATACGTCTAAAACATCGCTTTAAATAAACCTTCGTGTCTTTTAAAGTAATTATTCTACGAATGAGTGTAATAATAATAGGGGTTGGTTCCCTAAATACACCGATTGTATAGTGTGCAAAGCATTGAATATGTACATGTTACAGTCATCTAATGTTCATCTATTATTGGCTGGTAATTCATGTTTCACCCTGTATTTAAGCGTTTTAAAGGAACATTGTATATCTGTAAGAAAGCTAACTTCAAGGGGTAATTATAACACCGTTTACACTAGAAATATGATGTTTTTTAGCTTAAGTATAATATGGAAAACATGAATCGACTTTTCAATACCCGTACGACCTTTGCAGTACCTTATGTAGTATTCTATAAAAGGTTTGTGTGCAATATAACAAGTCGTTTTTATTTTAAACGAGCAATAGAATAATAATAATAATTACAAACTGTCCGTTTTGAGCGGATTTTCTTTTCCTTGTAAGTCTAACATACGTGATTTTTCGTACATTTTAATATGTGTACAGACTTAGTAGTCAATAGTAAAGGTTTTAAAGTGTTATTTGAACTGAATCTTTACTGTTTAAGGTGATTTTTGCCCGAATGTTCCATTAAGGTTTTGTGCAATTCCTTGCGATCCCTATTATACACCACTATCATGGTTCATGATAAAGTAACAAAATAACCCAACAAATGATTTACCTCTATTATTGTAGTTTTAAACGTCGAATTTTTTCCTCTGAAGATCTGGCCCCTAAAAGGACCAAAAAGGGTTCCTTTAGTTAGAGGTATTTTAGTAAAAACAGTGTAAGCAACACTCGCATTGCTGGATTCTTTGATTGTGAGGACATCTGACGGTAAATGGAGTAATTCAACCAGTTCATCTATTTCCTCGTTGGCTTTACCTGCAATAAAAAAAAAAAAATCTTAGTAAAACAGGCACGGATCACATGAAGTAAAGAAATATATTCTTTTTTTCTCCGCATATGTAAACTTTTGTTTGAAACGGATTTTACTTTTCAATATCAGTACTTGGTAACGACGAAAACATAAGAAAACCGACGACTATACATATTTTAAACAATGGATCAATAATAAGCCCTTTGGCTGTCATGTTGTGGTTGAGTCAGTTCTCTCGCGGGAGTCAAACAAAACAAATTTATATTATATTCCTACGAATCAAGTTATCCATCACATCTGTCTTCATGAAGAAAACAAAGGTAAACCCTTACAAATTTCTCTCGCCCAAACATTTCTTCAAGTACATTAATGTAGGCGGTGCAGTTTAGACAATTGTGTGATATAATAACTAGATGGCACTGCACTGTCCACATTCAGATGGTGCCATACGACCAGTTCAATCTTTCTGTACTTCTCAACGCACAATGAATGCCGTATTAAACCCAATGACGAAACTATCCCAGTGTTAGGGTTCACTAACCCTATGGGCTCCACTTCATAATTGATATTCTTTAAGCCTAACATTATCGTTGTTTTTTTTATCTTTAAAACGTGCAATAGCAGTAATGTTTTTTACTAAATTACACTGATAATATTTATGACCAAAACTAGTAATAATGGAGTATGTGTGTAATATTACAGCTTGAAGGAAATGGGAGTGGAGGCAAATGGGAATTCCGTAAAACTTGAGAACCAAAGCGCCACATTTCTGCTTCGCATGCTTGAATTTACTACCAATTCTAAATGCTGTTACTGACGAGGTTTGGCTGTAATAAGTGACTTCGACTTCCACATATGTTACAAGATAGCTTCGTGTGATTCTTGTTGACTCAAATGGTTCACGTAGTTCTGATGTGCCTATAATACAGACTATTCCGGTTTAAATATAGACCTTTGTAAGTAAGATAGAAATTATAAAACTGGTTCCACAACTTCATCCGCCTCACATAAAACGTTATTCAAACAAGTATAATTAAATATTTTTGTCAATTTTATAAAGACAAGTAGGGATCGATACATACGTAACATAGTCAGCTATAATAATACGGAAAGTATTAATCCAACAAAAAAGGTATCGAAACCCGGATTCTAGCGTTGTAAGTCCGCAGACATATTCCTACTTTGGTTTAGACTAACATAATTACAGTGATTGACCAAAGTAAGGATGAATGTTTTTAAAATGTAAAGTATGCCAGTTTTTGTAGTTTTAATTTTCTGGTTTCGATACTTTTTGTTTATATTACTATAGCTAACTGGGTTACGTATATGTCGATCCCTACTTGTCTTTATAAAATGTTATTTTTTTTTATTATACTTGTTTGTTTCCTTTTTATTAGCCCATATCTTTGTGCGTCAGCAATACCAAATGTGGGGCGCGCGTATACCCGATTCGATTTGATTACTCATCAGGATTTCTAATGACTTATACTGAAATCTAATTATATACCCAAAGTAGCGCATCGCTCGTTTTATACACATACATACATATATATATACTAGTATCCTTTTTCGGTAGAAGAAATAAATCATTGGGACCCCAGACGGAAGGATTCTGTAAAAAAATTAGAGCGATAAGGTTCGTCATTTTTTCCGTACGCTTGTCTGGAAAAATCACTTACTTATTCATTGAAATAGTGAAATTTGATTCACTCCATAAACACATATATATATAGTGATTTGGCGGCTTCATAAGTACGACAAGCTTTAGTTTGGCTCAGCCAATACTGTAAAGTAGTCATTGTTAGCATTCAGACATTTTAAAAGTGGTTTTAAACATACGATTTTTCTGGCCTTCTTTTTGTTTCATCACGATCCCTACTACTGTACTGAATAATAACTGGAAAAATTCTATAAATGTTGCCATCTCCTGATAGCTACTTTCGAACCCTCTAACACAGTATTATTATTATTATATGATAAACAACGGTAAACGTTTTATCTAATCAGTTCGGACAGACAAAGGGAACGTTTATTAACCGCAGTATCAATTCTAACTGACTAAAACAACGTTTATTACCCGCAGTATCAATTCTAACAGACAAAGGGAACGTTTATTACCCGCAGTATCAATTCTAACTGACAAAAGCAACGTTTATTGCCCGCAGTATAAAATCTAACAGACAATAACAACGTTTATTACCCGCAGTATCAATTCTAACTGACAAAAGCAATGCCTATTACTCGCAGTATTAATTCTAACTGACAAAAGCACGTTTATTACCCGCAGTATCAAATCTAACAGACAAAAACAACGTTTATTACCCGCAGTATCAATTCTAACTGACAAAAGCAACGTTTATTACCCACAGTATCAATTCTAACTGACAAAAGCAACGTCTATTACCCGCAGTATTAATTCTAAAAGACAACGGCAACGTTTATTACCCACAGTATCAATTCTAACAGACAAAAGCAACGTCTATTACCCGTAGTATCAATTCTAACAGACAACGGCAACGTTTATTACCCGCAGTATCAATTCTAACAGATAAAAGCAACGTTTATTACCCACAGTATCAATTCTAACAGACAAAAGCAACGTTTATTACCCGCAGTATCAATTCTAACAGACAAAAACAACGTTTATTACTTTAAGTTTATGACCTTTATTTCTACACAGGTTAAAGACTTTCCCCTTTTGTTTAATCAAACGTCGTCTTACCAAAACATTTACAAGAGATCTGAAAGACAACACGGAACAGCCGATTCTGATAGTGGAAAAACTGTTTGATTGGTTGTTTTTAAGCACAAAATTACAAGATGGGCTATCTCTGCTCTGTCCATTAAGGGTATCGAAACTCGAATTTTAGCAACGTAAGTTGAGAGACTTATTACTGAGACACTAGGGGGAGGGGAGACAGAATGATTGATATTAATATCAAAACCATAGTATGGGGGTGAGACAGAATATAGTTATGTGTTTGTTGTAACTCGTACACAATAAACGTTGTTAACACTTGCCAGGACACAGTCTGCTTAAAATCATATGGTTTTCGTTTGGATAGCTTAAGGCATTGAAAAATAGAAACTTATGAAAGACCTACTTCACATATTGGAGTAATCTGTTTACACAGTCGAGTCATATAACAAACTGAAATATGTCAAGGCTGGTTAAAAGATGTAAAGATAACTTTAACAAAAGACTGCTTCTTTTTTCTTCTTTTCGAAAAGGCCTAACCAAAATGAGTGTGCCGAAACAAAAGTTAATTCATAGCTTTTAAAATTCTCACTTTTACTGGATGTTATTTGTTTGTCTGGTTTATTTGTCAGTATTGTCTGAATTCTGAGGTACTTTCTTGGGTTTAAAAAAGTTTAGATGTTAAGCTTATCCTAGGATTAATAAGGACTCATTGGTTTTTTAAACGTATTTTGTAATTTCTTGGGTCTAAAGAAGTTTAGATGTTAAACTTATTCTAGGATTAATAAGGACTCATTGGTCTTTTAAACGTATTTTGTAATTTCTTGGGTCTAAAGAAGTTTAGATGTTAAACTTATCCTAGGATTAATAAGGACTCATTGGTTTTTTAAACGTATTTGTAATTTCTTGGGTCTAAAGAAGTTTAGATGTTAAGCCTATCCTAGGATTAATAAGGACTCATTGGTCTTTTTTAAACGTATATTTATAACCTGTCCTGAACCAAATTGTCGTGACTTTTGTTAAGCCAGTTCACTGCACTGTGTGTTGTAACTACACAAAATCAGTCAACATGATGCAACGTGTTGATCTCAAGTCAGTAATTTGAGGGTTAAAAGGGGCAAACCCTAAGCCTGTTAACTCTTCGGAATGTCGTCCTTCACATTTCATCGCATCTAATACGTTATTAAATACAATGACGGGTCTAAACTGGTTGTTGTTCCCTATGTTTTCAGTTTTACTACCCCTGTTCGGATCTTTTTCTGAGCTTACTAGATGATACCAGTATATATATCTATATAAGGTATGTTGGCTCAGAAGAGATGCATCACAATTATATCTACCTCTGATCATTATTTTAGGTTCCAACAGTTGTAGTTTTCTAATGAGATCTAGCGTCTAACAAGCAGATTTTAAGATAAACTGGCTAAAAAATTTTTGATGGCTTGGTTTCTTTATCCCGAGAAACTAAAATGAGACCAGTAACTTAAAAGTCATCATTCCATAATCATGCCAATCCTGTTTAAAGTTATTCGACCTATTACCCTATTCTTTGTAAATAGGCATGGCTTAGACAGACAAAAACAAAAACAGAGCACGAGGAGGATAATACATTTCCTTGGATACAGAATCAAATGTGAACGTAGAGTCAATTATTTACCATGCAATATTTAAATAGGGAATAATTAGAACTATAAACAACAACAACAACGACGAATGATGACGACAATGCTATACAGTATAGAAACCAGTCTAAAAGACGTGCAGTTTGTAATATTTAATTTACCATTAACTATTGTTGTGTACGTGGATTAAAAAAACTAGTAATTACTTTTTCAGGACCTTCCGATTACACGTGATGGATGTGTTAAAAATATATAATCGTATATCAGATACAGTAAAGAGAAATCAACCGTTGCTAGACTGGTAAACATTTCGAAAGTCTCGTATGATCAAGGGACCTATTTGTACAAGTCTGTAAGTTAGTTAATCTCGAGTTTACAGTTGAAGAAGCTGGTTTATTAAGTTATAAAGTTACCAAACCCGCAGACTGATGACGTTTAAAGCACTTTCATCACTTTACTGCTATCTTTTAAAGCTTTGTTTATAGGTTCCTTTTTTGGTTATAAAATTCCCCTCTGAAGAGTCTGTTATTTTATTGTTGGAAAGGTAGATATTCATTTATTTGGCTATAAAATTGTGCCTGTGATATATAAGATAAAACAGTTGCACCCTGTTTAATCAGGAAGTATTTACAACACCAGCAGTTCCGTTTCCTTAAAATCCCTTCTTCTTACCGTTTGTTTTTTC